TTTGGGGGGGGGGCTAAAGTCAGCCTTAGCCATACTTCTCATCCCACCGGCATACCACTCAAATGAAAGATGTTGTCCCCGTTAATTTGATGCCACATTTGTTGTTGTGATACTTGTAGTTCTGAAGATATAATAAATTTCCATTTTGCAGCCATGTCCACTTTTCCGTGGAATTGCCCTTAAAAACAGGGCCAGAGTTAGCGGACAGTCACGTATTGCACGTACGGTGTCGAGGCTGAAAGTCAAGGTTCATAGATCCGGGATCAGTTCCCTTGGCCTCGGGCATCCGTGCCCTGTTGATTTTTGTTAACATAAATTCCGGTAAACACATCCGTGGTGGCTTCCTGGTACCATCTGGTGCAATCGGTGCAAGAAAGTTCACTAGCTGAAAGTTGAACCAAACCAACCATCCACCTGTCTTCTCTGTCAGTGTTTGGGATTTTTACCTGGATATGCTCACTCTCTTTGAAACAATTCGGTCTTAACATTTGCTCCAGAGTTGAACAACAAGCGGAGCATTTGCCAAACAAAATGTTGTAATTCACCTTGTCATTTCCCTTTGTTGTTCATTTAAAAATACAATAAAATAGTAAAATATAATACAAATAGATTAAAATAATAACAAAATACAATGCACATAATAAAATATGAAGACTAATCATTCGGAGATAAGATAAACGTAGTTAAAATGAAGTATAGAATTAATGAAATTCAAATATATCGAAGGCCCTATATTAGTTTTGAATAAATGATGTATACAGCCGTGTTAGCCTGCTAGATACAGTTATTAAGAGAAGGTAGCATTTTAAAGATTTCATCAGATGCAATCATTATAGGAGAGACAACCGAAGTCAGACTTAGTAAAACTGTCTGGGTGAAGAGTTCAAACAAAGGCAGGGACCTATTTCATCAGATGCAATCATTATAGGAGAGACAACCGAAGTCAGACTTAGTAAAACTGTCTGAGTGAAGAGTTCAAACAAAGGCAGGTGGTGATTCCGGGTGGAGTTTAGTACTGTGATGAAAAAAAAAGACATAGTTCGCGGTCCTTGTTGAATGTTGTTTTGTTTTTTTGGGGGAATATGGAGAGCTGAATTGAAGTATAAATTGTACATGTGCTGTTGTCGTGCAGCCGGGCGGTGTGAATTATTTTATGCAACCTCATTCAACTCCAAACAGCAACGGAGCTGTCTCATGGAGAGTGTGTGAAGTTCGTGTTCGTAACTTTCTTCCTGGCATTAAATCACAGAGGAGCAACATCATTCATCCTGTTTTAATTACTGTGTACTTCCCCCTGTGTCTGATACGGACACCGGGAGTCTACAATGGCCGGTTTGGTCGCCCATTTAGTTCTGTCCTTTTGTTTTGGAACGATCGTGATCGCTGAATTGGAGGAACCAACGCTTTGCAGTAAACGCCATGAAGCACCGCCGAATCTAAGGGCGTACCCAACACAAATAACGCACAGAAAGGTCCCTTTTCTTTTTTACTATACTCATGAGGACCTGACCCTTTCCTGAACTTTTACTCGACAGCTCCTATAGGGTTTGTACACGAAATTCTCCCGAGGACCTGGCCCCAGGTCCTCGGGCCCATTGAAATCGCATACACCCCATTGTCCCAAGTCCTCAGTCTGAATTGATAACCAACCCGCCAGAACATACATGTTTACATTACATAGTATTTACCTTGTGTGGACATTCCTTTGTTTTCGTGTAGTTAAGAAAAACCTGTGAATTAAAACTCATTTTCCTCACACTGTGAAAACTCCTTCAACCCACATTTTTTTCTTTCATTCCCTTCAGTGTTACTCTTCAATTTGCAACGGATAAACCTAACCCAAAATGCCTCTAAACCTGTTTCCCAGAGAGGGGGATACCTTGTGTGGACGAGTGCAAGTCCACACAATGTCGCTGCTACCTGGTTTATGTGAACTTCTTTTGTTCGGAAGTCCACACAGTGAATGTAATGCTTATACACAAGTGTGTAGTTGCCTGCAATCGGGGACCCCCTATTGTCCCTATTTTGTTTGTTACTTTTTAGGAAGGCCTCCCATATGTTTTGTACACGATCGCGGGGACCTTAGGGAATTGAAGACCTGTACCCTATGGAATGCAGAAACAAACTCAGCCTTACACAGTATACTAAGGGGAAGACCACAGTTTCCCTTATTTTGTTTCCTTTGTTCCTATTGAAATCTCAAACTGCGTAGCGTTTCCCTTATGGGGTAGATTGAATTCTAAAAATTTCCTCGGAACCCTGTGCATGTATCCTTTCCGACCCATAGCTCACCACTGTAGTGCGGACCCAGGTATGCCTATCACCTGGCCTCTCGTCTCTCATTGGGCACTGTGGTTTTACACTGAAAACTCTTATGGTGTACTTTTTACGACACATCGCGACGCCACTACAGGACGCGACAGCACAACGTCGTGTCGTGTAGTGGCGTCGCGTCGCTTGTTGAGAGGCGACGTGATGTGTCGTAAATAGTACACCATACACTAAAACAGCACAGACTTTTGTGCGTAAACTCTCAATGCCCAAAAGCATCGAGGCCGTCCCAGTATTAATGCAGGAAGTAAAAGTAAGATTCTGAAGTACATCATACGTGTCGTGCGATGACTTTAGTGCTGGATCAGGGTCATGTTCGGACAACTGATCAGAGGAATCTACTTGTATCAAGGGCAGCCTATCTACCGTGTAATACACAAGGTATGTAATCAATGAATTCCATTTTTTTGCAGCGATCCCGCAGGACGGTGTGTGGGATAATGTCCCTCAAATACTTGTTAGGCAGGGTCGCCAATGCACTGTAAACAACAAGAATTTAAAAGAAGAATTTGCCCAAGAGTGTCGGTAGTTGGTATGTTGACCAATATTCAATGGGCAATAATATACCAACACATTTATCCAACTTATTTTTAATAGTGTTAACGATGTCATCATCCCACAATGCATCCCGGTGTATATATATATTTTTACTGAAAGTTACCTAATCGTAACTGATGTATTAAAATTATTGTGCTTAATACCGCATCGCTCATTTAATATGTACTTAAATTTATGGGGATATTCTGCGAGGGATGGTAGCCTATAGGTGTAGGCCTATGTAGGTGTGCGGTTACGTGCTGATATGCAGATAGCATTCAGCTTCCCCACCCCACCGTCTTTCGAAGTATTACAAATAGATCTTGAAGTATTGGGATTCATCACTGGTCTCTATGGGAACTTATTTGCTTGTGTGCGCTCTATAAACTTTACAAAATGGACGCCGCGCCACGCATGCGCTATTCTGCGACAGTGGTTTTTCAGTGGGCGAAACCTAGGTGGGAGGGGGGAACATATTTTCAAAGGGGTCAACAAGGGCGGATCTGAACAGACGCTCACAAATCTTCAAAGGCCGATTGGCCATCAGTCGATTAAAGTGATTTCGGGCCAAAACAGGAGGGGATTAATTGGGGGTTGGGAGGGGGTGAATGGGGGTTGGAAGGGGCTGGAACTCAAGTTACCTCATGAGGGCGCTCTATAGCCAGGTAATGTGCATTCAAGTTGCGCAAGTTCAGGCCTGATACTGACCTCATCCCTTCTTTTCTCCCATTTTTTTTTTTAATCAAATATGAGTTATGAATCCTTTTTCTTGCCATATAAAATCGGTTTCGGGGAAAATAGCAAAATGTCGATTACATGTATATTAAAGGGAATGTACATCATTGGCTTTTGCTGTAATTTTCAGAAATGAACTATTTGAGGGGTTAGTATAATAGATCAAATATTGTTACACTGACATGTTTGAAGTTTTGTGTTCGAAAATGCTGGAAAAACCAAGAAAAACAAAAATGTTCAAGTAGTCTGGTTCCTTGACTCCACTAAAGATAAAATGGATCAATTTATAGATGCCGGAAAATTGTAAGGTAAGGGAACCAGTCTAGCTGGTCTGCACCCGATCGTGAACATGTAACCAATAGCAAACAAAATTTGGACTGAAAAAAGTGTAAAATTGGAGGAGTAGTTGAAAAATAGTTAGGTTTTTCCAACGGTGATCGGCCGACCACCGTTGGAAATGTATACCAAAATACCATTTTCTTGAAAATGACTTCACACCAGGTGCCATAATTTTACAGGATGCTTTAGACTGTCATTTACCAACATCCTAGTAAGGTATTTCGTAAAAACTTGGTAGTTTTATTTTGTGATGTTTGCAAATGTTGTATATTCCCTTTAAAGGGTACACCTAAGTAAATAGGCTAAAATACGTCCGCCAAGCCAATGAATAAAATGTATACATTCAAGTTATTCTATACTCAGAGTGTTTTAGAGCCATGAAATTGGGGAATTGAAGACAAATGACACTGTACCTACTGGCCTGGATTTATTTCAGTTTAGTTATTTTATATATTTATTTATTACATTTCTTTACCCAGGGTAAGCCCAAATAGTTTAAAACTGGGTTTCATTTGGGCCCTGCATACACTAAAAATGACTACACGCATGTACAAATACAATTCATTACAAATACAATACAACACAATGAAATACAATAAAATAAAAGCATATGGGATTACTGCATGACTTCAAAGCTATTTGGTATTGTGTAACTTTTATAAAGAAAACATGTACAGTTTGTAACGACATCGCTAACAGACTTTTCCTAAAAGATTGACTTGGGGCGTCCAATCCTGAGCATTTTGGGAAGAATATGGTCCGAAATTGGCACTATCGAGCCAGTGTTGTGGAGGGATTCCTTTTCAAATGGCTACTTTTTTTTTGTAATCTGCTCAAACTGAGAGGTTTGAGTATTTTTTTAAAAAGAGTTTTGATGTATGGGGCCTATCACTGGTCTGAGTGGGAAATGATTTGCTTGGGTTGCAGAAAAAAATTATTGCGGCCGGGACTCCGCAAAATCAAAAATGAAAGACTACTAAACACATATGGGACCGCAATGGAAATGAAAATTGGTCCTACGATATATAATCTTGTGGTCCTGTTTGTTTCAGGCTGCTATTTCATCGCGACAGCGTAATAAGTGTTACAGATAAGCTACTAGTCCATTCTATTAATTGCTGGAAAAATCATCCACGATGCGACGTTTCCTAAGCAAGGCGATTGGTGTTCTGACTGGACTTACGCTGCTTCTGCCCTCAGTGATACTGGCAGATAGCGGTGAGTTTTTATTTTTTTTCAGGATCTATCACCCCCATTTGTTATGCAGTTCAAACGATAGGGCTCGCTCACCCATCACGTGATCTGGCCTACGTCCATGTTTGGAAAAGTTAGCGTCGAACAATTAGCATCTCCATTATATACACCTTCAAAACGCTGGTTAAAATTTTGTTGGTTAAAAAAGTTTAACCAACGTTTTGAGAGTGAAGGGTGCATTCGAGAAGCTCACCCTAGCCCCCCCCCCCAAAAAAAATCCATAAAATTAAAAGAAAATAGCAGTACCAAAGGTTACAAGGTGAAACGGTCCCCCTACAAATAGTCGTGAGAAGGTGGCATTTGTACATCATTAGGTAATAAAGTGTGCATGATTGTCAGAATTTGTAAGCGCTCCACATTGAAACGAGAATATCTAAAATGTCTTGAACCCAATTAATGGTTGAAATTTCATCATACCAATTGGAAGGTGCTTCAACTGTGCACGTCCTGCTGGGTTTGTACGTACGAGCTGTGAATCTTGTAATGCTTATAGCATCATTTAACTCGATCATATAAATTTGTATGCAACATCATTGGAATTAATTGGCATGCATTACCAATATAAAGCTACCATTTCTCACCGTGAATCCTTTTGTGTACAATCTAAGAACAGAGCTGAACCTCATCAATCTTGCGGCAAACGAATCAGCCATCATATCCTCGCCATTCTATCCAAGCAACTACCAGAACAATTTGGACATCCAGTGGGTTATCCAAACAGCGGAGGACTTTAGAATCCTCCTCAGTTTCCTCGCTTTCAACACGGAGAGTTGTTGCGACCATCTGAGTGCCGGGAACGGGATCGATTCTGCAATTTCCTCTACAAGGATCTTCCGGTTGAGTGGGACCCTTCTCCCGCTTGATACGACCTCAACCGGCAATGCCATGTGGCTTAGGTTCACATCTGATGGTAGTTACACCAAAAGTGGGTTTTCTTTATCAGCTCGAAGCTTTGGATCAAGTGGTAAGAGTGCGGTGAATGAAGTTTAACACAGTAAGGCCACATGTAGTCTGTGAAAAATAGAATATTGATGGAATATTACAAATGAAATTAAAACGATTAATAAATGTATATTCTAAATATCATGTTGGTAAGTTGGTTGCTTCATAGCACTGTACCCGAGGAGCTTATTTTAGAAACTTTAACGAGGAATTTGTATATTTAAAAAAAAACATTGATTAATGAATATTTCAAATTGCATCCTGATTGCTTTATATAGTGAGGTGCGTAGCTAAGGAGCTATGTGGGAAACTTTAACTATCTATATCATTTTATAAAACTGTTCGAGGCCTGATATTTGGGAACTGAACTTAACTGAACTGCCCGATTCCCATATTCTATATCATTGGAAACTTACTTAATGTCCTTTCCAATGAACCCAAAATCCCATTACCAAGAATTGATCCAAGTGACCGGTTTTGTGCTGGAGGGTCGCATAAATTATACATCAGATATTTCTAAACAATGATGTTTACTGGTATCTTCAATTCGTGAAACTCATTTACAGTCGCGTTGGTTTACTTTTCTCGCAGTACAACATATAGGCTGTTTAGTCAACTCCCGTTGTCTGAACAACGGGACGTGTTAACCAGTTGGATGGACTGGCTCCAATTGTGAATGTCGTGATGGGTTTGAAGGCACGAGGTGTGAAACAGGAGAGGATTAAAATTCGATCTTTAGAATTTCAAATGCAACTTGAAATAAATTGATAAATTGTTACAAGCTGCCGTATGCATAGATATAGAATAAAAATGGCCGTATGACTGTTGTAAATTTGGCCAATCATTGCCTTCCATGGGGCTGGATCAATGCTGGTCCAGGGGCCATTTTTTTCGCTTGTTCTTTGAAGCCGGTCCATATATCACCGTTTATACACCTCACGTGATCGAGTCTCGACCAATCAGAAACCATCAACTCTCCAAGGTATTTATTAATGTTCTTTCACAGAGCTGATCAATCTCCCGGCAAACATGTCAGCCATCATATCCTCGCCATCCTATCCAAGCAACTACCAGAACAATCTGGACATCCAGTGGGTTATCCAAACAGCGTAGGACTTAAGAATCCTCCTCAGTTTCCTCGCTTTCGACACGCAGTACAACTATGATTATTTGGAGGTTGGCAATGGCCGCAACTCTACTGACTCCTCCAGTAGGGTGTTCCGTCGGAGTGGGAGAATTCTCCCGCCTGATACGCCCTCAACCGGCAATGCCATGTGGCTAAGGTTCACATCTGGTTCTAGTAGCACCAGCAGTGGTTTTTTTCTATCAGCTCGAAGCGTTGGATCATTTGGTAAGAGCGCGGTGAATGAAGTTAAACAATTTTATAACCACGTCTGACCCTTCAGTGCAAAACCAGTCGAAAGTTGCAAGGCCACACGAAAACGCAGTCTACGATAATACAATATTGATGACATAACTGTAAATACAAATCAGAAGCGAATACACATTGAGATATCATCTATGATAAATAGAATGTTGATCAAATAGTATTAATAACATGAAGACAATTGATAAAATTAATATTCCACACTTCATTTCATTGCTTTATAGAAATGCGCGTAACTAAGAAGTTTATGTAAGAAACTTAAACTACGAATTTGTAGAATTGTGAAAAAACTTTTTGAGGCCTAAAATTTTGGAACTGAAAATACTTATAACTGTCCGATTACCATTTTCTATATCATTGGAAACTTACTCAATGTCCTTTTCAATGAGCCCCAAATCCCATTTCCAAAAGTTAATGCTTGAGGGTCACACATGGATGTGCTTCAAATATTTCTATACAACACGAAAGATATGTCTTGATAAAACCGGTGTCCTAATTACATGAAATCACATTAATAGTTACTTTTGTTAACTTTTCTCTTGTTACAAACATAGGATGTATATTGAACTCTTGTCTGAACGGCGGGACGTGTCGACCAATTGGATGGTCAGGCTTCAACTGTGAATGTCTCGATGGGTTTGAAGGCACGAGGTGTGAAATAGGTAGGGATTAAAACTCGATCTATAGAATCTCTATTGCAACGTAGAGTTAGTTGATTGGTTTACCATACAGTAAAGAGCCATCCTTTCTCGCTCAATTCAATCTGGTGTCATGGTCTTTCACAGAGCTGATCAATCTCACGGAAAACAATTCAGCCATCATATCCTCGCCATCCTATCCAAGCAACTACCAGAACAATCTGGACATCCAGTGGGTTATCCAAACAGCGGAGGACTTAAGAATCCTCCTCAGTTTCCTCGCTTTCGACACGCAGTACAACTATGATTATTTGGAGGTTGGCAACGGCCGCAACTCTACTGACTCCACCAGTAGGGTGTTCCGTCAGAGTGGGAGAATTCTCCCGCCTGATACGCCCTCAACCGGCAATGCCATGTGGCTAAGGTTCACATCTGGTTCTAGGAGCACCAGCAGTGGTTTTTCTCTATCAGCTCGAAGCGTTGGATCATTTGGTAAGAGCTCGGTGAATGAAGTTAAACAATTTTATAACCACGTCTGACCCTTCAGTGCAAAACCAGTCGAAAGTTGCAAGGCCACACGAAAACGCAGTCTACGATAAATACAATATTGATGACATAACTGTAAATACAAATCAGAAGCGAACACACATTAAGATATCATCTATGATAAATAGAATATTGATCAAATAGTATTAATAACATGAAGACAATTGATAAAACTAGAGATGTGTTTGTGGACAAACACAAGCTGTTTTGGATATTCAAAATACTCTGTGCACGTGATGACCAATCAGTGACGTCACTTAAACTGTCATCTATAACAGCACATTATACGTACATATCAAGTTATAACCAAATCGAACATATAGGTCTGTAAAAAAATATAGGCCTATGAAGAACCAAATGCCCCTTTAAGGGACGTCACATGACATTTGATGATGACATCACATGAATTTTCATATATAACCCATCTCGGCATTGGTACGATCACGAATTTCTTCTAGGACCATCTGTGGGTGGTAGTCTAAGTGTGTACCAGGTCTAACGTCGATCGCATAATTTACAAAAGTGCCAAAGTAGAGTGTTTTAAAACGTGTACATACCCTATGGGGAAAAATGCATCTTTAATGTGATGTAACCCAACACCTGATGACGTCACGATCGCGCATTTCTTCTAGGACCATCTTTGGGTGGTGGTCTAAAAATGTATCAAGACTGAGGTCGATCGGATTTACGAAGGTGCCAATGTGGAGCGTTTTAAAACGAGTACAAAACATATGGGGAAAAACGCATCTTTAACGTGACGTAACCGAACACCTGATGACGCCACGATCACAAATTTTCTTCTTGGACCATCTGTGGGTGGTGGTCTAAGTGTGTACCAAGTGTAACGTCGATCGGATTTACGAAAGTGCCGAAATGGAGCGTTTTAATACATGTACAAACCCTATGGGGAAAATGCATCTTTAATGTGACGTAACCTGACACTTGATGACGTCACGATCACGAATTTCGTCTAGAACCATCTGTGGGTGGTGGTCTAAGTATGAATTAAGTTTAAAGTCGATCGGATTTACGAAGATGCCAAACTGGTGTGTTTTAAAACGTGTACAAAACATATGGGGAAAAATGCATCTTTAATTTGATGTAACCTGACACCTGATGACGTCATGATCACAAATTTCTTCTAGGACCATCTGTGGGTAGTGGTCTAAGTATGTACCAAGTCTGAAATCAATCGGATTTAAAAAGTGGCAAAGTGGACTTGTAGAAGAAACGTGTGTTAAACCTATGGAGAAAAAGTCTGAAAAAGGAGAAAGAAAAAAACTAGAAATGTGTTTGTGGACAAACACTGAGCTGTTTCGACCGTTTTATTAATGAAGAAAATATTAAAATTTGAAAAATTCATAAAAAACAGACGATGACGTCATGATGACGTCACTTCAGATTTTGAATGCTTTTATCTATACCTACCTACCCACCAAGTTTCATAACGATCGGACATACCCTTATGTGAATCACAAAACACGTTTTTGATGACATCATGATGACGTCACACATTTTATGAAATTTTGTGTATGTATCTTTCAACTAACAAACATGTTACAAAAAGAATTTTGAATTTACCATGTTCCATTGATGAGATTTGAGTAAAATAAGGTCAAAAAATTGCATAATTTATATAAAATCACATGATGACGTCATCGTGACGTCACTGCAATTTTCGTCTATAACACTTCCCGGAATACTTGCATACCAAGTTTGAACCCAATTGGACCTCCGGTTTTGTACATATAGGGTCATAAATTATGCACCTTTAGGATGACGTCATGTGACACGTGATGACGTCATGATGACGTCATGATTCGGCATACATCTTCAGATGGTTGTTTAAGTGTGTGCCTGGTTTGAAGTCGATCGGACCATATTTTATATAATTTTTACAAAATTTGAAGAAAATATTAAAATTTGAAAAATTCATAAAAAATCAGATGATGACGTCATGATGACGTCACTTCAGATTTCGAATGCTGTTATCTTTACCTACCTACCCACCAAATTTCATAAAGATCGGACATATTCTTATATGTGAATCAAAAAATCACGTTTTGATGACGTCATGATGACGTCACACATTTTATGAAATTTTGTGCATCTATCTAAGACCTAACAAACCTGTTACAAAAAGAATTTCGAATTTACCACATTCCCTTTATGAGATATGAGTAACAGGTCCAAAAATTTAATAATTTATATAAAATCACATGATGACGTCATCATGACGTCACTGCAATTTTCGTCTATAACACGTCCCGGAATACTTGCATACCAAGTTTGAACCAAATCGTACTTCCGGTTCTGTAGATATAGGGCCTTGAAGTATGCTCTTTTATGATGACGTCACGTGACACGTGATGACGTCATGATGACGAAAAGTTTCGGCACACATCTTCAGATGATAGTCTAACAGTGTGCTAGGTTTGAAGTCGGTCTGATTTGAAACAAGGCAAAAAGTGACTTGTAGAACGAAAACACGTGTTATCCTATGGGAAAAAAAGTGGAAAAAAAAAAAAAGGGAAAACTAGAAATTGTGGTTGTGAACAACCACAGAGCTGTTCCCAATATTGATTATCTGTTGGACCCATAGACATATAAGTAGAGATCTATGTCTGTTTGCAACAGAAGATAGGGCTTTTCCGCATTATGATTTGTTTTTGTCAATAATACGTCCCTGACTATGCATGAACATAAAATCTGTCAAAGTTAGCCGGAAATCGGCTAAAACGGTCACTGTGGACAGGATTTGACCTAAGCAACACGTGCGCTGCGCGCGGGCTGACTGACATACGATATGTACAACGTACGTGCATGTACATGTACTGTACATTGTGGACGTCCTGTGCATGTTTCAAAGCAGAGGTATTGTCAACCTGAAGTTTTAAGCGTGCGCAGGGCATGTCCCAGTTTGCGTATTGCCTCAGAGCTTTCAAATGTTTTAGACCTACCCTTCAATAGACAATTAAAGTAAAAACTAATATAAAAACTGCCATGGTTGATTTTTCAGGAATTTTCTAAGGAAAAAGGATCTTTTCCTTATAACTTCCGGTCTAATGACGTCATACACCTAAAACTTCGCACAAGTCTTAAGTTGGTCAAGGTCATCATATACACCAATATTTAGGCGATTCTGACAAACTTCGCCACAGACATCTATTCAAAATACATTTTTGACAATTTTCAACCTGTCGCTAGAGGGCGCTCGAAGATTGCATGACGTCATCGGTAGATGATTTAAAGAATACTATCAGCCAAGAGACTGACACCGTTGAAAGCAAGTTCATATCTATTACCACTTTCAAATAATAAGCTACTTCCGGTTTTGGCCTTTTTCGACCGGAAGCAAGGGTCACGTGATTGCACGCACACTGAATAAAATAAAGATCTCAACCTACTCCACCACTTTCCGGCAACAGAATGCTTCGGACGCGTACGGTTGATTTCTTATGCATTTTTAAATATTAAAAGTGTCACTATTCAATTGCCTATAAATAAACACCGGATGACGTCATCATGACGTCATCATTACACAAAGTTGTTTGAATCAGGGTCTTTGCTTGGACAAAGAGTGGTGTAAATGAATTACTGGCAAAGAGTCGAAAATGCCCTCTGAAAATCGACTTCTTTTTTTAAATTTCTGTGTACAAAGTCTATGGGAAAAATTAAATATTCAAAATTATATAATAAATCACGTGATGACGTCAGCATGACGAAAAGTTTCGGCATACATCCTCAGATGATGCTTAATAACTATGCTGAGTTTAAAGTTGATCGGATTTAAAATAATTGCCAAAGTGCCTTGTAGAATAAAAACGTGTACAAAACCTATGGGAAAAGTGGAAAAAGAAAAAAAAAGAAAAAAAAAAAAAAAAAAAGGAAAAAAAAAAACTTTAACAAAAACAAGAGCTGTTCCCAATTGAAATTGGGAACAGCTAACTAGAGGTTGTGGTTGTGAACAACCACAGAGCTGTTCCCAGTTTTGATTCTCTATTGGACCGTAAACAAAATGATTTAATGATTAACAAAAAATGAAAGTAATAAATTGAAATTATTACTTTTAAAGATTCCACTTCCAGTACAGCCTTTTAAATATTCATGACGTCATAGCATAACAATAATTATGCGCACAGTAATAATAATTCAATTTAATTATCTGTCAATATAGCTTTGTATTAATGTGAAATTTCAACCTGATCAGATTAATAATTCATGAAATATGATATAAGGGTCTAAAATTACCACTTCCGGTAAAACCGGAGGTGAAGGTCACATGACCTTGACATTTCAATTTTTATCTATAACACTTCCCTGTCTGTATACCTGCCAGGTTTGAGATCAATCGGTCAAATAGTTCTATAGTTATAGGACTGTAAAGATTGTCTCATTAAATATTCATGACGTCATGACATGACAATAATTAAGTGCACAGTAATAATAATGCAAGAAAATTATCTGTCAATATAGCTTTGTATTAATGTGAAGTTTCAACCTAATCAGAGTAATAATTCATGAAATATGATATAAGGGTCTAAAATTACCACTTCCGGTAAAAACGGAAGTGAAGGTCACATGACCTTGACATATCAATTTTCATCTATAACACATCCCTGTCTGTATACCTACTAAATTTGAGATCAATCGGTCAAATAGTTCCATAGTTATAAGACTGTAAAGAGTGTCTCATTAAATATTCATGACTTCCGGTCTGATGACGTCATACACCTTAAACTTCGCACACGTCTTAAGTGGGTCAAGGTCATCATATACACCAATATTTAGGCCATTCCGACAAACTTCGCCACAGACATCTATTCAAAATACATTTTTGAAAATTTTCAACCTGTCGCTAGAGGGCGCTCGAAGATTGCATGACGTCAACGGTAAATGATTTGAAGAATACTATCAGCCAAGAGACTAACACCGTTAAAAGCAAG